GGACCTATTTGTTTCCCTTTTTTTCCCTCCAAATTGTATTGCAAATACTGAAGAAGAAAATTGCCTCCCTGGCAGGTTAATGGTATTTGGAGACTCTATCATAGCTTCTTGGTCTGTTTATATGCAGTGCAATTATTTTTATTGCATAGGCACAAAGAATAGACAGGTATGCATAAAACGTGCAATAAATAAATAATTCAAGGCCAAATATTTCTTTTATATTAGAACACCAAAAAGATAATGAAAAAGTATAACCCAGTGACAGCAAGATTTGGATTCAGTGAGCCCTGAGGTACCTCTGACACCTTGGAGAAAAATGTTTTCAGATCACACTGAGCTTCCCTAAGGCTTGGCAGTACTTTGCTCCCTGTGTCTCACTGGTAACATCGATTCACCCTGTTCATGTCGTGATTTCTCCACGTTTTCTCAAAATCCTGTTGAATGTCTTTGAGAATTCAAATCTGAATCTTTTTCTTCAGACCCGGTAATGAAATAGATACAAGATGTTACCAGCTAAAGCTCTTTCAAGCAACACTTTCAACAAATGTTGAACAGAATGACTTTCCAAACTGAGTTCCAGGATTTAGAATAACCACAAAGCTTTCTTAAAAAAAAAAAAAAAAAAAGTGTATGCCCTGAAATAAAACAGAAGGCAGGAAATATATGAATCACAGAAAAAACACCAGCTAGAAAAAAACATGCTCCATTAAAGTCTGAATGAACAGAAGGGCAACAACTAGCAAACATGAAATAAAGCATGGTGGAGGCAGCCGTGCTGTCTGTGCTCCCCCAAAGCCATCTGCCAGGAGTGGTGAGCAGTGGTGATGAAGAAAGGTCAAGGATGGGCTAAGTCATCCCCCCTGCACCGGCACTCATTTACCTGCTCTGGTCTTCTCAGTGCTCCTAACACTGTTCTGGGATCAGTCATCACTGGGGAAAACAGCCACAAACCACCACAAAACTGCCACAGAAATCCAAGTATCTGCCAACAACCATTAAAGTGTGAGGATGTGCAGATGAGAGGGAAAAAGAAAGACATGTGGCTCTTACTCACATCAGAGGGAGTATTTCGAGCTGATCTGAAAGCTGCCTGGAGAAGGTCACAGAGTGCTGCAAAAATTAAACTGGGTTTTCAAATCTCAGTTCATATATACACAAGGTAAATGAGAGATTTGCTTTGAAAGCCTGTAGCCCAAACCCCAGAAGAAGAAAACTTTAGCCCAGCAGTTGGAAAGCAGGTGGCTTTTGTCACTGTGTTAAATCATAGCTGTTAGCAGCACGTGTTGGGTGCTCACTTGGGTTATGGGATGGCTCTCTGTCAAGTCATTTATTGCTGTTAGACTGCTGTCAGCTACCCATGTTTTAGTTAATACACACCAGGAAAACCATAAATTTTTCAGTTCAGTCTGTGAAAGGAGGAGGATTTTGGCAAAGTGCTCAAGAAATAGGTGGAATTTAGAAACTTTTGGTACTGGTGTCTATTCAAATATAACTGAAGCTTGGCTGCTTTCTCTTTTGATGTCTAGTACAGAAGTGAAGTAAGGTAGAAATTTTCTCCTTGCCCTTCTCAGGAGACCTACAGATCAAACAAAGCTGGAGGTGATGCTGCCCAGACAGTCACAGCAAGGGGGAGGCACACTGCCAAGGAGAAAAGGCCATATATAAAAGGTGGGCTTTAGCCTCCTTTTCGTATGGAAAATTAACCTGTTATTCTGCACCCACCACTCTACCCAGGAGTTGTAAATAATCCCTGTTGTGCTGCTTGCCAAGGTTTGGAACAGCAGCCAGCTTCATGGCAGCCAAAGGAGAACAATGTCTATGTAAAGACACAGGAGTGGAGAGGGACTGGCACCAGCTCCAGGTTACCTGAGGCAGGACATAGCACAAGCACAACGTGCCTCACAGTGCAGCAAAGAGACTGCAGCACATCCTTAGGCAGGTGGCAAAGGACAAAATCAAACTGTCTGCATTCTCCCTGTCTTCTTCCACCCAAATGCCTCCTCTGGGAGGTGAAGGGAAAGACCCCATGTCTCATGTCAGTGAAAGGCACCTGCATCTTCTCAAGGTGGGTGCTCTAAGCTTGGTGTTTAGTCCTGGGATAACCCAAGAGCCCCAGTCTTGAGACTGAATCAGACTCACGCTGAGGGGTCTGATTTAACAGAAGATGGTGAAAGCCATGTGGTTGCTTTGGGACTCTCCTTTTCAGATGAGACAGGGAGGTCCTGGGCTTGCTTTCAGCTGACACTCACTGCCAGCAGACACAGGCCCAGCTTGCCTTCTAGTACTGGGAGAAATAATTTATCTTTTGAAAAGTCTGAGATGAAATCCTGTCTTCTTTCACATCAGGTGAAGCTCCAAATGTTTACCTATGGAGTCAAAATAGCATCCTATATGAACTTCTAGAGCTGGATTTACTGGCTAGGAGAGGTGTTATTAGAGAGAGATCAGAGAGCAGAGGAAAGTGCCTTTGGAGAGGAGCAGCCTGGCTTGGGGATGTTGCTGCTAGTGCTCTGCTAATGGTGCTGTGTGTGTGTGATGCTCGTGGCTCTAACAAGCACTTAAGAAAAACAAGAAAAACATGATACCAGGGAATTACCTAAAATTTAGATCAGCCATGCAGCTGGTCTGTAGAGGCACCATCCTCAATGTGAAAGCACTAAGCAAACAATAAGGGCTGCGATAATTGCCCATGTCAGGCTGCGTCCAGCCACCAGCATGGAAAGCTTTTTCCCTTCCTCAGTCTGAGAGCAAAGAACAGCACACTTATGGTAAACACACACGAAAGAGAAAGAGCATTTGTGTGCCCTGAAAAAATTCCCTAACATCTGGCAACTTCAGGTTTGTCAGCTGTTCAAAATTGCTGCCGTGTTTCTGAATCACAGGCAGTGTAGATCTGTTTCCTCATACCTGGGCTCACGGAGGCTTTCAGCATGCTCATCAGTGAGCAATGAATTCACCCTCTGCTTCTCTTCAAGCCATTTGACTGCTGTTTAGTCTAGTATGGCCAATACTGGGGGTGTGGCAGGTTTGGGGGGATTTCTCTCGCACCCTTCGCAAGAGCAGCTCTGCGTGTGGCAGAGAGCATGCAAGGCTCCCCGGGCCAGAGAACAGGAGAGCGTGGAAGGAACACATGTTGTCCTGTCCAGGTGTTCCCACTCTGCTCTGAATGTTTTATTCAGTAATCTAACCCATCTCATTTATTTTTTTTAAATGTATTTCCAGTTTCAGCTCATTCTGCTGAGCTGCATGTTTGCAAACTCTGCCTCTGCTCTGTGTACAAAGAACAAATCTTCCTGTGTAAAGCTGTCATGCCTCTTCTGTGTCCCCAAATCCCCACCTCCACACCACGCACATTGACAGCCACAATCTGGGGCAGTCTCCCCACCCTTGGACACCCTGCGAGGCTGTCCTAACGGCAGGAGGACCAGTGGGGACAGCAGACGTGGGAGCTCACCAGGTGTTGGGGGGCTGCAAGAGGGGGGCATCTGCAGGAGGAGGGGGAAATTTATTTTCTGCAGACCCCACATGGAGTCCCTGCCCCTTGGAAGGTGGCATTAATATATTCCCTTTGTGTCCTCCCTCTGCACAACCCCCTGATGTTACTTAAGGGCCTGAAGAATCAAACTCCATGATTTTAAATTACAAGTCCACATCCTCACATCTGCTTTACTGGTAATTGGCTCAAAGTGGCAATTTGTCAATGTTTTTAAGATAATGAGCTCCTCATTTGTGTTCCAGCCATCTAAACTTCCAGCTACAGAAACACACCACAGCTATTGCACATCAGCTCCTATCTGGGTGTGCTACTTTACGTGGTGGTGCCCCTGCCTCCCACACAAAAGGAGTTCTGCCAATCAATGGAGAAGTTAATCAACTATCTTTTGAAGCCTGGCTGAGTACAGACACTTTGGATGAAAGCTGTTATTTAAATACCAGTTGTCATGATGATGAGAATGATTATGGTTATTTTAGCCATATTAGTAATGCTAAGTAATGGTATTTTTAAAGGTATTGAAATATCTGCACAGAAAGCAACTGAAGACTCTAAATATTGCCTGTTAGAATAGCTGGTCAAAATGTTTTAAGTATTTAGACTGAAAAATGCTTGCTATTCTGTAAGGTTTGTTTAAAAGTTGAAAAGGTCTATAGTTTACCTCGAAACATTGCAGACATAGTAAAACAAAACTGTTTGCTGTGATTTATTTAGGATTTTGGCTTCACTTTAATTTTTCAAGAAAAGTTTAAAATAAAGTTTTTAGAATCTCCCACAAAGCCTATGTACCTTTTCAACAGCTTTACTTACCTCCTTGTTAGCCGTCAGTAGTGAAGATGTGCACATGGATGTCTTAGCTAAAAAAGCTTATAAAATTTGGGGGTGGGGGCTTGCTTTCTAAGTCTTTCTCTATATAACCTATTAATATATGTCAAAATGTGTCATTTAGTAGTATGGGTGTTTGTCTGACTAACAGCAGGAAAAACAGTTCTGATAGCACTTGAAAGATTTGTCAAACACTTTTTGATAAGAGAGAAAGCCAGAGTTTAGTGCCTCTGTCCCTGCGTGCACACCGAGCTGATCACCAGCCCAGCCTTCCCCACAGCCCCTGGCCATGAGCAGCACTTCCCCTGCAAACACAGCGACCTGTGCAAGATGCACCTCCTGCTGCAGATCTTGCATATCTTTCCTGCAGATGCATCTTTAAGGATGTCTTTTCTTTACCTTGAAGGAGAATCCATAGCATGTCTGAACAATAACACAAACAAAGCTGTGCCAGGAACTGGCCGAGAACCTAGCTTGCTTTATCAACAAAAATCTCATTCCCTTCAAAGTCTTCCTACACTGGTGAGGATTCAGACAGCTCTCTTCAAAAAGAGCTACCAAGAGAGATTTGTTGCTGCATGGTACCCAGCAGGCTCATGCTCACCCTTTGGCTACTGCAGATAAGCAACAACACTGAAAAAACTTGAAGCAAACATGATTTTCTCTGCTGCTCTGCTCATACCTGTCCAGCGAGATACAGCACAGGTGCAGGATTGATGCTGTGGTGAGAAGGACATCGAGAGATGTCCGAACAAGGCAGAACATCTCTCCATAGATCCAGTTGTCCTGAACTAGCTCGATGGCTCCAAACGGCATCACCAGCACTGAAACCAGCAGGTCCGCAAAGGCAAGGGAAACAATGAAATAATTGGTCTTGATTTTCCTGCAAGACAGATAACAAAATGAACAGCTTCAATGAAGCATCCTCTGCGTGTAGACAGAGAATTCAGCTTGTGGTTGGGTCTGAATTGCTCCATCATATATATGTAGAAAGGTCCTCTCTAACAAATTTCCCACTTTATACACATATTGTCATGCCTAGCTTGTTCCTGTTTTTTACACCTAAACAACCTGTCTCCCCTGTGTAAACACATTTTCCTGCTCACATGTAAGAGGTAAATAGATGCCTGCAGGCCTCTGCTTCTGGCTTAGTCTCACAGCTTGCACTGGAGAGTTTGGTGGCGAGGAGGGGGATTTTATTTTAACTTGTAAATTGACAAAATCCTTCCAGAAAGTACTGAGAAGAATCGAGACCGAAGCTATAATTTTAACTTGAAGAGTACTTTTTAAATCATAACAATAAAATAGAATTAAATCCATTAAAAATCCCACGCAGAATATGAATAGAGGCTGCTGAATATCTCCCTTTGCTCATGGGGCTGGTCTGACAAATCACAGGGGGAGCAGCAAGCCTCAAGACACGAGTTTTGCCTGTGAACCGCCCCAGATTGTTGGGAACATTTGCCAGGCTGCGGTAGAAGGACCTTGAGCTGCATATTTTACTCAGGGGCTAGTGAGAAAGGGAATTGGAGATGGGATTGAGCACTGCTGCTTTGCTCTGTTTTTCACTGATTTATCTGGTTTTGACACCAAAAGTGCTAAATGTGTAGGGGATGGAGACTGCAATGGTCCCATGGCCACAGGGCGGATCTGAGGGCAGGGACACCGAGACTGAGGTGGCAGCATGACACTGCCCCACAGCTAATGGTGGCACCTCCTTCATGGTCTATGCTCCAAGATTCATGCAAAGGGCTTTCATCTGGGGCCTTGCCCCATGCCCCCTGGCTGAAGGGGGAGCTGTGGGGGCTGCATGGGCTCACCTGAGTTGCCTGTCCCGGCACACCGCCACCATCACCAGCAGGTTCCCCAGTATGGCCATCAGAATAACCGCTGATATGAAGGTGAGCAGCACAATCTTCTCTGCTATGCCGAAGCCCTCACTTGAACTGGAGAGCACAGAAAAAAAAAGGAAAATAAAGAAAATGCACCAGAGTCTGGGGGCTGCCCCGGTTCCTGCAGAGCCGAGGACGCCAAGCACCTGCTTGGCCATCACAGCAGCAGCATCCCCAAACAGCCCACCAAGACCTCAGCACTCCTTAACAAAGAGTTTTTCCTATTTACAGAGAAAGCTGAGAGGCTCGTGTTCATCAGCAGAAAGGCTGAATCTTTTCTTTTCTTTGGAGTGAGGGGATGGGGGGGCGTGGTCGAGGGGAGGGAGGTGTGGTGGGGGGTGGGGGTGGGAGGGGCGTGGGATTGGAGGGAGGGTTCAGGGAATGGAAGGGGCCGGTGTCCTGGAAGGGAACAAGGAATTGGGACGTGAGCGTAGTTCAGGGAAGGGGAATTTCCTTTAATGGATGGGTAATAAGTTAAGTTGTGGAAGGGACGTGAAGGGAGGCCAAACTTAACTAATGACGGTGAAGAAAGGTAACGACTTGATTCTTTGCATGCTATAGGTTCTCTTAGCTCTCTTATTCTTGGCCTTACTATTCTCAGGAGATTCTATCTTCTCTTGCCGTCTTCTCTGAGAATCTGTAGATGAGCGTTCTCTTCTATTCTCTTCTTGCTCGTCTGATCTCTTCTCTTCTCTTCTCTTCTCTTCTCTTTGTTCTTTTTTCTTTTTCTCCTCTCCTCTCCTCTCCTCTCCTCTCCTCTCCTCTCCTCTCCTCTCCTCTCCTCTCCTCTCCTCTCCTCTCCTCTCCTCTCCTCTCCTCTCCTCTCCTCTCCTCTCCTCTCCTCTCCTCTCCTCTCCTCTCCTCTTTGCTGTTTTACTTAGAAACTGTTCTAGAATTAGGGAAATTAAAACAACTGTTGGAAAAGGAAGTGACAAACTTCCCTCTATCTTGACATCGATAATTTCTTTCAGCTAATGAAAAGGCAAGGCAATGCAAGGAAAGGAAAGAAGGAAGGATAACATGCAGACACAATGTTAGATATATCTTAAATCTGTATTTCTACAAATATCTTGTTAAACGTTCTTTTTTGTTTGGTTTGGTTTGTTGTTTGTTTGTTTTAAAAAATATTTTTTTTTTGAGTCTGCAAAAGAGGAGGGTAATACACAATGTGCAACGGATAGCATTCATAAAACTGTGTTTCTTACCAAATTTTTGAGCCACTTTTCTTTTTAGGCTATTTCTAATTATTTATCCAGAACAAAAGGCACCCCAAACCTCCTCCTGCCTGTGTCACTTTCCACAGTACATCAGAGTGGTGAGAACAAGTGTTTGTTCATAGCATCAGGTGTGGCTAGAAATAAACCAGCATTAGGAGCAGCATTCGGCACTAATTCTGCAGGGAAATTCCTTCACCGTGCACAGAGCTGGCACTCGGCACCCAGGATTAGTGCTGTGAGATTGTTCACATCATTGAAAAATTGAACTGTTATTCTGTTTTAGTTTGACTTCCTCTGGGGTCACGTTTTATTTACTAAATTCAGTCCAGGCTTTTACACTTTATCTTTCTGAATTCTCCTGATTTTGGCAAAGCTCAAAAAGATTAGAGGCTCTGCTGCAGTCCCATCTCCAGTGCCTGTGCCATCTTAATAGGCATCTCATGACCGACTTCAGCTCATGCCTGCACTGCAGAGCACCCCTTTAATCACAATTTCTGCTTTTGTCCCTGGTGCCACCTTCAGTCTGACTTTTTTTGCCCACTGCCAGTTGCACAGTTGGGTCAGATCACAGCCTGCTGAGCCTAGACTCATCATATGCAGTATGAACACCATCTTAGAAATTCATGAGTTATAAAGTTTTACAAGGAAATGCATTTGGGCATAGATTCATCCAGAAGGGTGAGAATGTTTATGAGCAAATAAGAAAGAAGGAAGGAGATGCCCTGGCCTCACACTAGCCTCATGGAAACACAAAGCATCAGGCAGGCCTATGCAGGATAGAAAACAAGTTCAATTATTGAGCTATAATGAGAAAGAGGTCTGACACAACTGCATTGCCTAACTTCAGAAATGTACGTTCATATGCCAAGCAGTGCTTTCTCCCCCGTGAGAACACACATGGCTTTTAATTCAGGATAATCTCATGAATTAAAACCAGAAGCTTAAAAGAGGTCACATAGCATGGACAGATGGGTGTATCCCACCTCCCTGCAGAGCTTTCAGGCAAAAAGTCCCTGAGTGCTGCCAGCCTTGTGTCCCTCTGGATGTTCCTGGGGTACCAGTTACACCCAGGTAGAGGTGGCTTGGAGCGAAGAGAACCCAGTAAGGCAGTAGGTTTTGTCTTGTGTTAGGTGAATGGTCAGATGGTAAATGTGAGGCAAAGGCATGTCTGCTTCTTTTGCCCTAATGGTTTTTGTTGCTAATGTCATTGAATCCAGTCCTGCTTAATGGAGGAAGGTTGCCAGGGTGGTGTTGACAGGGTCAGACGCAGTCATGGATCTGCATTCAGCAAGACACTTATTTTTGTGCAAGGCAATTACAGATGCTAAGACAGAAGAAAGGAAAAGTCAAGAGCAGGTTTTACTCAGCATCTGAGAGTTTACATTTAATTAGGGAGAGCTGTCTCCTGGACTTATCACAACTTCAGTGAGGGTAATTAAGGCTCCAGGAGGCCTCCTGGGCAGCTAGCAGCTCTGGGCAAATGCTGGTGCATTCAGAAATGGTGACAAGGCTCTGTCAGAACTAAGTGTGGATTTCCCAGCTTTTGCTGGATATGTTGCTTCCCACTGCCCTAGGTCATTAATTCTTGGACAACTCTTGAAATGAGTGGGTTTTGTGTCTGCAGTTCTTATAATTACACTCAGTTGTTGCCTGCAATTTGCCTACATTGATCCAGTCCGCCTCCTCCCATCTGATGGAAGAAAATTCCCATCTGCCAAAAGGATCTGCCTCATCCATCATTCCATCCCTGACGGTGGCCTGTAGGAAAAGAAATGCCTACGTGCATATAGTGGTACCTCCCTCGCGTGCTCTCTCGTGCTGCAAAGGTCACAGTGGTTTGTGCTAAAAAGCCCTAGGTGAGATTCTCTGGTCTGTCTTTTAAACTCTCAGAACAGTAAATACTGCCTCTGGGCAGCTTTCCTCCACCTAGTAGTAAGATGCTAGATGCAAAATCAAGTACATGCATGGCATCAGTTTCCGTTCCTTCTGTCACCAGTGACTGCCCTAAATTGCATATATAGATGCTTTCCTCAAAACTAAAGGTAATTGACATCCAGGTCCTTATTCCAACACCCAGATCCCAAGGCACTCTACAAAACTGGTCACTAGCCACATGACGGCTCCTAGGAAAGGACACCATTCTTTCCCCAGCGAGAATTCACTCCCCCATCCATCCATCTCCATCTGATCTGAAATTTCTCCTTTCCCCAGAATCAATGTCTGGTGTTGGAGATTTGGGGAGGCAGGGAGGTTGGGGTGCCGCAAGAGGGATGTGAACAGCAGCGACATGCTTTGGATAAGGCCCAGCAGGATGCCCAAGGCAATTCTCCTCTGCTGGAGGCACAGACAGCTCTGGGCCTGCCACCTCCCTCCTCGTGCAGACAGATGTTGTACTGCTGGGGAAGAGCAGGCACAAGCCAGCATCGGTACTGTGAGCACAACCACCAGAGCCTTCATTAATAACGTTCAGCAGAAGGCTCCACAAAAATTAGAGGGATGAGGAAAAGAAGAGACTTCAAAGGTCAGGTCTCTGCCTGCTGACTGTGTACAGGGCAGGATGAAAAGCTGGCGAACAATGGGGACACCGGGATCAAAGGCACCTTCATCGAGCTGTAATTGTACCTTTCTAAACATAGCCCTCACAATGGGCTGACCACTCCATGGCTGTGAAACAAAATGTCACACCACACTGAATACCTCCCTACAAAAGGTGTTCCTTTTCCTCCACAGCAGCACACAAATGCTGGCAGAACGGTGGAGAGGAGGAGGATGGTTCTGTTTATACAGAGCCAGGCAGATAGATTTGTATTTTGTCTTATCTAGCTTTGCTCATCCATCTGCTCTTCCTAAAAAATTCCCATCTCCGGATTATTTGAGCACCTTGCATCTCCCCAGATTCTGCAGAGGGTATGGATGGGGAGAGCCAACTCCATCGTCCCAGGACCTGCCAGTGTGGGTTCAGCTGGCCTTTGTCCACCCCTCTGAGCAGTGCCTTGCGAGGGGAGCTGGTGATTGAGCCTGCTGGATCATGTTTTAGGGATCCCTGGTGTTTGGGGGTGCACCAAGGCTGCCTGCCGGAACATCACTCATTCATCATCCCCCACGCCTGCACCATTTGCACCAGTCTGGCTACAGCGCAGGGCCCTGAACAGAGGCAGGAGGCCAGAAACATGTCCTGACACATGTGTCTGCGGGGCATTTGCTCTGACGACAGTTTCCAAAGTGTTTGGGAGATCTCTACAACGAGTATTGCTCTCATGCCCCCTTGTACTGATCCTCCAGGGAACATTAGACGCAGACATCACCAGGGGTGCAAGAAGGACGTTCATCTGGGATATGTTTCTGCTCATCTGCCTTTTGAATAATCTGTCATCAAGTAGGAATATTTGTTAATTATTCAGTCTCGGTAATTCAAAGCTGTTAATAATGGAAGAAGTGGATATTGTTGTAAATTAAAATCAATGGTTTGAATAACATCTTTGATCAAATCTGAGTGCTCTGGCTTCCAAGCATGCTTCCCTGTTTAATAAAACAGAGATTGATGGGTTTGCTGTTACAAGGAAATGAGATTCAGACAAAATGATTGTTGGTTAGTAGGAATATAGAAATCACTTAAGGAAAAAGGTGAAATACTGATGTGGAATGAATGCTTTAAACCCACATGGATATATTTAAAAGGCTCTTCTGTGTAGTCATTAATGTTTTTTTTAAAAAGTGTAATTACTTTTTTTTTTCAAGCTCAATTTCTACTTTCCTGTAAACACCCCACCTTCTCTATCTGACCTCTAGTGCTTTTGCATATTGTATGCAGCAATTAAACCATGGATTGGTCATGCT